GGGGGGGGGGGGGGGGGGGGGGGGGGGGGGGGGGGGGGGGGGGGGGGGGGGGGGGGGGGGGGGGGGAGGAGAGAAGGCAAGTGCCATACACGCCATGCCACGAGAGGCTGGGGGACGGACGGGGAATGCAGTAGGAGAATGTGAAACAGAAATTTCGTGCGTGTGAAATTTCTGTTTGTGCGAGTCTATTGTATCTATATTTCAATTTCCCAAATGTGAGGTGGGCCAATGTTGGAGACAGACTTTGATCTCTTGTGGACCTGTCCTGTGGCACAACGTTGGATCAACATCAACTACTCATGTTGGACCAAGATTGGGGCGCCGTTGGGCGGCAGTGCTACATGACTTTCAGGCGCTTAGAAGAGGCCTCGAGAAAGCTTCCTTTGTATGCGGCTGCTTGATTCTCTTCAGGATACATTGCCGTTGGGTCTCTCTCAGTGGAGCTGAGGCTATTCCAGCGAGTACCGCTTCCGTGTGAATGTGAACATTTTCGGGGATGAGGCCCCTAATGTTTTCTTTAGCCACATTCAAGTCTATATTCCCTCCAGAAGAGTCAATTACACAAAGAGGAGGCGGAGTTAAAGTTAAGGAAATAATTTTCGCCTTATCCAGTCAGGCTCTGCTTTAAGCACCCCCCCTTCCTCTGCAATTACCAGGAGTCTACCTGGTCTGTCTAAATTTTCTATGTAAAAAATTATTTTCAGGAATACGAGTGTTTCCCCTGATGTTGTCATTGATGAAAACCATTTCTCATCCTCGTATACGCTCTGGATAATAAGGTCTTGTTTCATTTTTTGTCATTATCATTTTTTCCGTAAGTTCGCACATTACATTTTGCTAAACGTATTTATTTCTATGTTGTCATTGATGAAAACCATTTCTCATCCTCGTATACGCTCTGGATAATAAGGTCTTGTTTCATTTGTCATTATCATTTTTTCCGTAAGTTCGCACATTACATTTTGCTAAACGTATTTATTTCGTTCTTCCCCTATTAACCAGGAAATGTTTTCCCTGGTCAAAAGATTTAACTGTACCATTCGCTTCAGGAACTCCAAAGACCTAAAGACGTAAAATGTTCATATCCTCACTTTATTTCAAATCATAGCATTTCCATTTCCAGTTGAGGGAATCTCTTTCACATCACACCATGATTCACCTAAATTCTGGAACCTCAAATTCCGGTACCATATACATGTATGGTATACCCAGGCGGGTATACCTTACCCGAATACCCCCCAAATACCCAAGTGGGTCCTTCCGGACCCATTTCGGTATACCCCAATGGAGTTATATCCCATTGGGAGAAAAGTTCATGAATGGCATCCAAATCTGCTGGTGTTTCTGACATCACAATGATCCAATAAGGGCTCTTTTTCCTGTCATTGTCATCCCAAAATAAGTCCTTTGTCCAGTCTGCATCCAAATCTGCATGCAGGAAAGTTGCATGGCTCATTTTCGCAACAATTCCCCTCTCTATATTCTCCACTTCCTCTATCTTTACACTTGTGTGAGAATAGATGTGGATAACAACCAGCTTCTTCAGCTTGCTTCTTTTTGCTTGGATCTTCGCTATGAAGGCACTCACTAGTCTGTTACTCTCCTAGAAACAGGCCGTACATCCGTAGACCATTCTCTCTCTTAGTATACTTTTTATATCTGTTTTCAAGAGGGTCGGGGATAGCGTTGGGTTGGAGCCCAACCCTACCCAGGTGTCGGATCAAGCGCCACTAAGTGAAGGGATACTTAATCTTGAAGCGCCCATACACCAAATGGTATCCAGATGAATCCATCCGTAACACTACCTACCTAACTATATACAGGATGTAACAGAAGTCAGGAACTATATGGTAATATCCTTTCTGGAGAAGATTGTCTGAAAATAACAAGCTAATTGGAGCCGATTGTGAAACTCCTTAGTTATCCTAATCTCATAGTCTGATACAAGTGGCCCAGAGTGATAATGAGTATAAAACATTGATTAACGCGAGCCCTGAGGATAATTTATCAAACTCAAAAAGCTGAAGTTGTGTCTGTAATCTACAAGAGAAAATCCGCTCCCCAAATCCGACTTCATTGCCAATTTTTCGCTTATTAAACTTTAAAAAAATTCAGTTTCATGCAATAAAGAGAAATTAAATCATGAATCCTCCTTTCAATGGCTTTCATGTAAGCCACAGTTAGTCTAATCAGAGTCGCTAGTAAATACATCACCAGAGAAGCTTGAACATATAAGGGTAAATGATTGCTTTTATGCATCCATCCACGCATGAACCAAGAGTAACTTACTCAGACACAACTGCGTTGGTATTATCTTTCCCTTGAGACATGATGTAAACTGCAGAACACAACGTTTTAAATTGAAGTTATGCGCAAAATAACGTCAACGAATTTGGATTCAATATGCCTTCAGACTTTTAAAACTAAACATGTTTTGGAGTACCAGTAAGTGGAAAGGCTAAATTTTCAGCTTGAACCAAATAAAGATCAGTCGCATTCGACTATGATATTTCGTAGTATGAATCGTGAAGGGTAACTCACCTGTAAATTGTCAGTCCTTGGAGGATTAGAAGTACCAGGGAGTGGTACAGTTCCATCAACATGTAACCCCGTTTCTAGCATAGTACACAAGGAAGAATATCTTTACAACGTAAAGAACTGGTTATAATATTCGTTTTATAATGGCTTCTTTCATCAGGATGTTCCACAAGTGGTCTTGCAGTGGAATTTAATTATTTTTCATTATGTACTTTGTAGTGTACTGTGTGTCATACTTATGTTATCAAAGGTATAAAATACCACTCATTACATCAACAAATAGTACCACCCCAACAGTACATAATTTATTGTAAATACTTCATGTCTGGAATGAAGCTATTCATATCATGTCATGAATTACATTGTACCAGTGACCTTTATAACACCCTGTAGATATACCTATATTTGTTTACTTACTAAGCAAATATTCTGATCTCGCTGCCTTTTTCAAATGTTTTTCATTCTCATAGGACAGAAAAACTAAACCTTAGTAAACACTTCATGCTTGCTACTGACTCGTAAGCTAAATAATATAAACTCTCAAGTATTGGGTTGGAAAGTCTTGCAACACTTTCTAAAACTATTTATAAAAATTTTCAAAGGAATGATGGGCGGGGCTTTCCA